AGGGCACACCCGACACACCCACACACGGGTGGCCCGGCAGGGAGGGCAGTGCTGCCTCAGCCTCCCCCATTGCATGCCTCCTCCCAGCCAGCTCCGCCTCTGCCACATAGTTTGGGGCACAAACCTACAGGGAACCTGGCCCAGGACCAGCTCAGGAGGACAGTGTAGGTGGCCCAGAGAACCGAGCGATGAGGCACACAGGCCACAGGGTCCATCCCAGGGACCACAGTGAGCACCTCTGAAACCATGAGTAACCCTTTCTGCAAGAGCTGAGTACCTCAAGGGTTTATTTCCGGGATGGCGGAAAGTAACTTACATAAGGCTGCTCCCCCTCCTTTCTTTCTTTTTTTTTTTTTTAAATCAGTGTCTGGGATTGAACTCACCACCGTGCGCTTGCAAGGCGGTGCTTATGCTGCTGAGCTAAATCCTCAGCCCCCTTTTTTGTTGTTGTTGTTTTTGACAGTCTTGCATGTACCACAGGGCAGCTGTGAACTCACTATGTTGCGCAGGCTGAGCTCAAACTTTCAGTGATCCCCCTGCCTCAGCCTCCCAAGTGCTGGGATTACAGGCAGAGCCACCACACTGGCTGTCTTAGTCTGTGGTGCCCTGCTGTTAACACACTACCTGAGCCCGGGGACTTATAAAGGGCAGAGACTGGTTTTCACAGTTCTGCAAGCCAGGAAGTCCAAGCCAAAGGTCTTCCTGCAGTTGTGTTACCCCACAGAGGAACACATAAGGGGGAAGGGCGTGTGGGTGTGGTCCCACTCCTCTCCCAGGTCACCGCTGTCATCACGGCACTCGCGGGTCACCCTGAGATGATCCCTCTCTTGCAAAATGCGGTTCTGAGCGGTGACAGGATGTGCCCGGTGCCCAGCTGCTGTCTTGCGGACCTAGGTTCGGCCTCCCTTCGGGCCCACTGGCTGAGCTGGGAGGCTGAGGCAGTGCAAGGCTTGGCTGTCCCTAGCGGCTCATCACACTGTCCCCACGAAGCCGGTCACGCGTGCCCTGGGCACATGCGTATCTGAACACCCAGCGGCCAGCACGTCCCCGGCAGGGTGTGCGGGGTGCGCCTGGGGTGCGCGTCCCTTCCGTGAGCCCCTCTGTTGTAACTGGCGCTGGAGCCCTGGGGGAGCGCTGTCTGGAGAGCAAAGGAAATGGGCGCACACGCGCAGCGCGGGGTCTGGGAATTGTGCAGGGCAGGCTCGGGGGTCAGCCCTCCCCCGGGAGTGGGCTTTAGGACAGGGGCGCGCTCGGTCGCCATCCAACTTTTGGGGCGCGCAGAACAGCAGGTCTGAAACCAGGGCCTGTGTGGCCCGCCGGCTCGGAGTCTCTCTGACGCCGCTCCCTCTGCGCTCGGGCGGGCACCCCCTGCTGGCGGCGGTGGCGCGTCACATTCTGGGCTGGAGGAGGTCTGCACCCTGGGGCCTCGAAGCCCCTTCATTGTCGCCAGGGATGGAGAGAAGTGCTAGACCTGCTCGGGGTGGGGGCCTGGGTAGGCTTTCTTACGGTGTCCAGCAATTTGTGGGGATAAAGAAAAAGCAAGTCAAATATTATGGGGGGACACTTTACTCAGTGGGAAAAATTATAGCACACCTTTTCTTTTGTATTTAGTTTTTGTTGTTATTGTTTTGGTTTTGGTTTTGGCTTTTTTTCTTCTTCTTCTTTTTGGTATTTTTGAGGCAGAGTCTTGCTCTGCAGTTCAGGCTGGACTTGAGCTCACTTTATAGCCCAGACTGGTCTCGAATTTGCAACGATACTCCTGCCTCAGCCTCCCAAGTGCTTATTTTGTTTTTGACAGAGTCTTGCTACATAGTTCAGGCTGGCCTTGAACTCTTGGCAGTGCTCCTGCCTCAGCCTCCTGAGTGCTGAGGTTACAGGTGCACTCCCAGGAGTCTCTTAGTTTTAAGTGAGACACCAAGTGAGCTGCAGATTCATTTTCTGTGATATTAATTTATATGCCAGGCAGTCAGCCCTTTCACATGTACCATCTGAGGGATTTTATGTTTTCAATGTTTCTTTATGAAGAGGAGCTGCCCCTTAGCCCACAGCGTTCCTGTTTTGTGCTTCCTGGAATCCAGAGGAAAGCCTCTCACTTTACACCCCAGTCCTTGCTAGCTCCCATCTCAGACACCAGGTCCTCCAGGTGCATGGCTCTGATTTAACAGGCAGTGGCACCCAGGGAGCTCCCTGACTGACAGAGACACCCAATTTGCTTTTTGCATCCTGGATTCACCCATGGGAACCGTGGCCACAGCTCCTCCTGGAGCTGACTGCGAGAGCTACAGTGGACCCTGGACTTGTGACCGGCCTGACACCCAAACAATGTGGGTACTGAACAGAAGTTTAATTTCAACTTACAACTAAAGTCTTTAGTTGTGACCCGAATGCTTGTGCTTCCGGATGGCACAGATACAGACCGAGCCTTGACAGAGCCCCGGAAGGAACATTGCCACATCCTTTCCTGCATGGGGTTCATTGGGAAACCTGGGCCGGGGTGTCTCTGAGGACACTGAGCACAGCCTGAGACAGGAGAGGCTTTGAGGGCTGGAGAGGATTCCGAGGCTCCCGCTGACAGCCTCAGCTGCAGCCTGAGTAGTACAGCTGGCCCCGGGAACGCACTGGGTTCCCAAGTCATGGTCCATATTTCAATGCTAAAATAATAACTTTAAAAGGAAATGGTACTACTTCAAACAATGTGGAGGCAGAACCTGAGGATGTGTAGAGGTCGACTCCACAAAATAGTCTCCAGAGTAACGCGCAAACATTTGCCTGTCTGTTCCACTATCTTTCTAAGTTGGAGCCTTCAGAGGAGCTAGGATGCTGTCAGATAAATCAGACGAGCTGGTCCGAGGGAAGAGGGCTGGACAAAGGCAGGAAGTGTGATCAGCGGCCGATTGCATGTCTGGGAGGGGAAAAGTCACGCACCTCACGCAGTGTAAATATTTTTGAAGTGGAGGGTAATTTTTTTTAAATTTAAAAAAAAATTTTATTTAAGGAGAAAAAGAAAAAAAGCAGAGAAAGGGTACAAGTTATACAGATTTACAGAAAAAAATAAACAGTAGGAAATCACTAGTTAATGGATTACATATTGTCATCTTAGAAATAATTGTTCAAGTTACAAAATTAAAGCTTATAAAGTGGACATTCCAACAGTGAGACTGCAAACAGTTCTGTTCAATAATCCAACGAAACTCAGTAATATCATTATCTATCTTATACACTTAAATATACATGCAGTTATGTCATTTAGAGCACTTTCTTTTCCTCTCTTTTGTACAATGACAATTACACATTTTGGGTTTTGTTGCTCCCACAGTTCTTATTACTTTTTTGGAAGAGAGTAGAACCAAATGTGACATAACACAACAGAGTCAGTCAAATCAAAAGGGTGGACATAATAGATAATGTAAAAGCATAATACAAGGTGATCAACAATGGTTACCATAATGCCTCCCACTATCTCTAATAGAATTGCCTATATCATCAGTTATAATAAAATTGACCAAAACAGTAAAGAACAAAACCAACAAAACCAAAACACTGGAGACCTTATAGGTCTTCAAAAGTAGATAATAGTCAACCAGAATAGGCATCATAATGAATCCCACTATCTTCACAGCTGTTGCCTAAACTTTCAAACCTGGTACTACGAAGCAAAACAGAATAGAGGGACATCAATCAAAACAAGATGGTGAGAGCAATACAGGGCTTTAAATCAAGATAATGGAAAGTCAAAGTGGGTTACTATAATATACCCTGCTATTTTTTTATTTTTCCCTTAATTAAAAGGATAAAAATAAAAAAGCAAATAATAAAATGGAGATTGAGATAAAAGAGGGCATAACAGCAAAACAGCGCAGATCAAAACATAACCATTTAAGCAAAATAGTGTTTCACCTCAAGATAATCCCGACATAAAAGTAGTTACCATATTGTCTCTTTCCTTGAAATCTTTGAGTATAACTTCGTATACTATCCAAACAATGTAAAACCATTTAAAAGAATGACAGTATTACAGGGTATTTAGAATCAACTAACAGAAAATGAACAATGGTTTCATATAATCTCCTTGTCTATAAATGTTTTTGCTTGTATTATCATATATAATAAAATCCAGTAAGATACAACCTGTTTAGACCAATGGAGACAGAAGAACAAAAGCTTGATGAGACTTCAAAACAAGATGATACTAAATCAGTATTACCTCTTAAGATGTCATTTTCTCCAAAATAGCTGTTCCTATCATCCAATCTTCTCTGCCTCATTTCTGTTGAGCTCTTTTTCTGTCATTAGTTGTCAGTTTGCCTTCTTCATTTTGTTTTCTGCTCCATTCATTGCGGCCTCTCTGCCACTATTTCTGGATTCTTCATATTTTTCTTTTTTAGAATATCCTGCAGTATTCTCTGTAGAGTTGAATTGGTGGTTGCATATTCCCCTAGTTCCTCTTTATCCTGGAAGCACATTCTTTTTCCATCAATTTCCAGGGATAGTTGTGCAGGATATATCAATCTTGGCTGGAGATTATTATCTTTCAAACCTTGAATTATTTCCCCCCATGCTCTTCGTGATTTGATGGTTTGTGCCGAGAAGTCTGCTGTAATTCTGATGGGTGTTCTCTTGTAAGTGATCTGTTTCTTGTCTTTGATGGCTTTTAATATTCTGTTCTTATATTGGATTTCTGGAATTTTGATTATTATATGCCTGGGTGTAGCTCTGTTTGGGTTGTAGGTGGCTGGGGTCTTGTATGCTTCATACAACTGAGTATCTTTACCTTTTGCTAAATTAGGAAAATTCTCCTGGATTATTTCTGTGAGTAGCTTTTGTAGTTCATTTGTTTGTGTCCCTACTTCTTCTTTGATGTTCTTAATTCTTAAGTTATAGATCCTCTTATCATCTTCTAGTCTTTGTATTATTGCTGTTTGTTTCTTTGTTACTTTTAAGAAGTTTTTCATTTCATGCTCCCATATTATAAATCTGCCCTCCAGTTCAGATAATCTATCCTTAGTTTCTTTCAAGCTGTTATGCCAGTTTTCGGTAGAGTTTTTAGTTTCCTGGTAATCTCTTTGAACCTGCTTCATGTATTCTATGCTTTCTCTATTTTCTCCATTAAACAATTCTCCCCTCTTTTTCTGCTCTTCCATTCCACCATCTGTTTTTTCTTGGGTGGTGCTTAGCATTTCTCTAACTATTCTGCTTATGTCTAGCTTCAGGTCATTAATAACTTCATTCCTGAACTTGTCTATGAGACTCTAGAGACAGCGCTTTATATCTATTGGTGCTGTGTCTGCTATTGCCTCTTTCCCAGGATTGGGGGCCGAGGAGCCTTTCTTATTGTTGCCTCTTCCCATATTCTTTGTTCCTTATATATGCAAGCATATATAGGAGGCCCAGCTTCCTTCCCTGTCAGCCACAGTCTGATTGAATTGCGCCGGCTAGGTGTTCCCACCCACCGCAGTGCACCAGGAAGTTGCAGACCAGGCAGCCTATGCGGGACCCGCCCCTCCAGGTCAATCTACCTTCAGGCGCTGGGACCTGGGTTGTGCTAGCCTACTGGGTCTCAGCCAGCAGCATCACGTAGGCTAGGCACTGCTCACCAATTCTGCTTGAGAGGGGGATACGTGACTGAAGTCACTGCAGCGCCCTGTTCCCACAAGTCTGCCCGGACCCAGAATGTCCTCTGTTGGAGTCTCCTAGACCGCGGAAGAGTCCCAGTTTCTCTCACTCACCGCAGGTCAGTGCATAGCTCCCCACCCATCCTGCTTTCAACTCCGTTCACTGATTCCCGTTCTCAGCTTTTGTGAGTCTCTCTCCCTGCCTAGCCGATGTAGATGCAGCAGCAGCAGTGGCGGGAAACCCAAATCGCGGCTTCCAGTGGTGCGGGCTCCAGCTTCCACACTGAGGCTTTTCTGTTCCTGTTATAGCACCAGGATTGCATTCCCAGTTGGTTTCTCTCAGCCCAGTTCGTTCTTGGGTCAGCAGGGCATATCTCCACTTGCTTATGATTCCTTACTCTGCACCATTCCTGAATATAAGCTGGGTCTTTCAGAGAGCCTCCATAGCTGCTGCTATCTGTCCGCCATGTTCTCCTGGAAGTTCCGTAATTTTTAAAAGACTATCTAAGCAAGTAACACTTTACTGCAGTATAAAAAATTCCAGGTGAGGGGGAAGGTTGGTTTTAGGATGTCTGCCAGAGTTAAAATGTAATTTGAGGGTTTCCTGATTTTTAAAACTTCTACTGATGCAGGTCTGCAGTACATGTTCATGTTCCCTGTGAGGCATTGGTACACTGAGGCTCGTGTGTCTGATTTATTTCACTTAATACTATGGTCTGAAAGTGCAACACCTTTGCCTACAAATGGCTCCATCTTATCCTTCTTTATGGCAGAGTAATGCTCCATTCTGTATAAATACCCCATTTTGTTTATTGGTTATCCCAATTGGATTCGGTTTTTTTTTTTTTTTTTTTTTAAGACGGGGGTTTTGCTCTGTAATTCAGGCTGGGCTTGAACTTGCAGTGATCCTCCTGCTGGGATCACAAATGTGTGCCACCATGCCTGTTCTGATTTTATTCTAATTTTCATTTAAAAATTAAGTAGTTCAAATACATTTTATTTCTTTTTTTATAGGGTGTTTACATCCCATAGTGATATAGGGGAATGAAACTTCCAACCTACTATGTCCGGAATGAGTTTGTATTCTCTAAAATCAAAGAATGAATTTTAGGAACAACAGAGGTTTAGAGCAGAAATATTTATTGAGAGAGAGAAAGCTTATGTTTGAGAGAGAGACAGAAGGGGTCCCGAGTGGGTTGCTCCATTTTATTTCAAGGTGAAAAAAAAAAGAAGAAAAATAAAATAAAATTGCATGACCTAATTTAAAAAGTATACAAATAAAAATTTTTTAAAAAATAAAAAAAAAACCCTAAGCAGTAATCACACAGGTAAATTAAGTATCTTAGTAAAACTAAGATCATCAAACAGCCCTAGCTTCTAGGAAAGAAAATTACACAATTGCCTACAGTAATTTTCTAAGCCCAAGGGAAACATGAGGAGACAAATTACCAGACAAATTATTTCCATTCTTGCTGGGACCTCAGATGTGTGTACGTCACCGTGCTCTCCCTTCTCCTCCCAGCCATACCAGCCCGTGGCCGTGAGGACAGGAGTAACCGCCTGGCTGATTGCAGGAGGGCGATGCCTAAACTCACACTGGCATCCGCTGAGACCTGCACAGCTGTGGGCTCCCAGGTACCAGTCTTGTGACTGTGTCGCCGGAGTGTGAGTGCATCCTGGGCTCCTGCCTGGCCAGGTGTCTGCGCAGGTGAGGGTGTACATGAGCAGCTCTGTCTACAGGTGTGGGTGCCCTCCAGAGGAGGACAATGGGGTGCTTTGAAACAAAGGTGGCCCAGGAGCCACCTGAGGTAGTGTGACCTTAAACACAAAGGCTTCCTGCTCCACCTAAGCACCCTTCAAACACTTCGCTAAAGAGAGAAGAGGTTTGGTAACTCCGGCTGGCAGGCCCAGCAGGCACCAGGGGCCGGCCTCACCGAGCAGGGTTCCTTGGTTCCTCCAGAGCCATGGGGAGTGGCAGAGCTGGTCCCAGTCCAATCTGTCATCTCCTGCTCCACCGCAATGCCTCAGTGAAAATGCAAGAGAATTTCTTCAAGAAAATAACCAGTGATGGGCGAGATTTAGGAGGATCTCACCCCCAATCTGCTGATTTGGAACTCGGTTTGAACTTTTCACTAGGAAAACTCCCTTTGGTTTTATTGGTCTGTAAAAAGAGCTACAGATTTGCTCAGGGCTCCAGGCCATCAAGGTGAAAGGCTTCACGGGGGACCTTCCCAGCCTCCGGGTGTGGCCACCCTGGGCGCTCCTGGACCTGCCTCTCAGTCTTTACTTCTCCCTTCTCCTGCCACTGCCCCCTGGACAGCACTGGTCTGTCTGTGGTCTCCCACCAAAGTCCCCACCTGTGCTCAGCCACCACTTCTGGTCTCTTCTCTGGCTTAAACCTGATGCTGGCTCCTTGGTAGCTGGGGGTAACACAGCTCTGGACATTTGCCCTGCCTGGTACAGATCCGTGCATCCAGCACAGTGCCTTGCATGCAGGGAGCGCCCCATAAATGTGACTTATTAAATATTTAAGCGACATAGGAATAAAAATATTATTATCATTATCACAGATAACAATGGTTAAAGTCCACAGCGCTGTCCTGTGATGGGCGTCCTGCACTCGCTCCTGATCCAGAGTTCACTGGGGACTCCGCACAACCTTGGCACCAGCTGCAACAGGTGGACCTTGGCTTGGACTGTGGACTGTTCAGGACACTCATAAGACACCGGAGTGCCAGACGGGTGATGCAGTTGAGCCAGGGTTAATTTTCGTAGACAGCTGGTGGGGGTCAGCATCCTGTCCCCTGGGAGCCAGCACACACCTCAGCTTTTCAGGGGGGAGCTTCAGGGTTCAGGATGGCTAGAACTCATTTTCAGGGTTCATGTTTAAATAACAGATGTGCCTTCTACAGAGAGATACTGTGAACGTGGCTAAATGTGAAAAGAATGAATATTCTTTGAACTAATAATTTTTCAATATCTTTCTATATATGAAATAAAAAAATAAAATATTTAGAGGAAAAGCTAAAAGTACAATTTGGAAAATCTTGGAATCCAAGATTGGCAGTTGGCTCAGAAAATGATTCCCCCAAATCACAGGCTGCCTTCGTCTGTCCTCCACCCTCTCAGCCCTTCTTCTTCCCAGAGAGAGCCAGGAAAAGAGAACTCCTCTTTCCCAGCCTGGGTCACACACACCACTGCCCACTGGGCCCCAAGCAGGCCCCCAGGCTTGGACATGACTCCAGCTTCTTGCCTGAGAGTCACCCAGCATACAGTTCTCCTGGCCCATGTGGCTGGCCTTCAGATCCCATGATCCCTCGGAAAGGTCCTGCCTGCCCTGTGTGTTCCAGGAGGCGGGAGCCAGGAAGAACCCGGCAGACCTTGCTGGGCTCCCCTTAGTTCCTCTCGCTCACGCCCTTCCCGCCCAGCTGCATTCCTGCCCAGCTGGCCCTGTGCCACGGAACCGAACCATGGTCTTAAATCCAAACCCTCCTCCGGCATGCAGAACTATGCTCACATATGTGGGCTACATCTTTCTCTTGACTCATCTTGTGGTTCAGGGTGGCCTGGTGTCGGGCTCTGGGATGTAGGACAGGGATCCCCTTGTTCTGGACTTTTCTCCTTCCCAACCTGCTAACCAGCCTCCTGTATCCTGAACACACCTGTGGCCTCTGCGTTTGCATCGGGGGCCTGCACTTTAAATTGAAAGGCACCGTTGTCCTTGGACGGCTGTGACCCGTCCCCAGGCTGTTCCCATCTGTGCACCGAGGTATCGTATCCTCCCTCCCACAGACGCTTAGGCAACTAGAAATGTGCTTCCCCATGGCGCCTCGTAATTCCACCAGGGATTTTCACAGGGAAAAGTGAAGCCATAAGGAAGCATGAGCCCTGGAGGAAGTAGTCTCACCTTAATCCCTTCGGGGTTGCCGAGTCCCCAGCAAGAGCCGGTTAGGATGTTTTTAACTTAGTTTATGTGTACAATTTAGGTATAATGATCACACTCATAGGGAATTTATACCTGTGCGTGCTGTTTCTTGATTCTTGTTCTCATTCCCCTCCCCTCCCTTCAGCCCCTCTGCCTCTCCTTATCTAAAAAAGCTGCTTCCATTTTTACCTTCTTTTCTCATCTTTTCCCTTTTCCCTTCCTTCCTCCTGCCCCCAGTTCTCTTTCCCATGTAAACAGTTTCTTACTGCCATGAACGTGGCCAGAATTTAGCGGCTGCTCCTACTCATCAGAGGCAGAAAGCAGAGAGGCCCGGGTGCACCTTGGCTTGCACATGTGCGTGACAGGACAAAGGGCGCTGGCGCCTGGAAATGCACCTAGCCGGAGCCTGCACTGTCCTGCACGCCCACTGCCGTGAAGCAGGCAGCCCCAAGAGAGGCTCCTCAGTGCTGACCTTGGGCTGGGCATGGAGGGGTCAGGAACGGCTCTTGGTATAGGGTTTGGGGGGGGGGCGGTAATAAAAACGTTCTGGAATTACACAGTGGTGACATTGCAGAACTTTATAAATGTAATAAAAACCAGTGGATTGTGCCATTTAAATGGGTGGATACTATGGCAAGAGAATTATAGTTCAATTTCTTTAAAAAAAAGAAAAAAGAAAAGCAACTCTGTACTGGATCCCATTTTCTAAAGACAGCCCAGGGATGAGTGAGTGGGGTGTGCTGGCCCCTTTGGTCCCCAAGTCACCCCTGCACGGGGAAAGTGCCCAGACCTGCAGCTGCTGGCAAAGCTCACAGCAGCCCCGGCCTGGTCCTCGCAGGAAGCCCCAGCTCGCACTGGTGTCTCTCGGGCAGATCTGAGTGTGACCTAAGTTCCTGTCCCCCCAGAACCCCAGCAGGTCTCGCACCCCAGCATCACTTCCTCATTGCACCAAAGATCCTGCCACTGGGATCCCTCCCAGCTTGGGCTTTGCTCCCTCTTCACTGCAAACAGTAGGTGCTCAGAACACATCTGCGGGAATGAAGGAGATCAGAAGAAAATCTTACGCAGTAACTTGTATCAGATATTTTTTAAAAGATGAAGTTTTGGGCTCCAAAATGTGTCTTTTCTCCCATAAAGAAAGAGGAACTCCTCCTTTAAGCATATATTTAAGCTCTGCGATATCTTGCACAAAGAGCATTTTATTAGAGACAAAAATCTCACTTACAAATCTTGACATGAATTTCAAGGAAAACATTCAGGCATCCTAAGCATAAAACTTTAAATGTACAAAACGCAAACCAACAGCAATAAACAGAAACTTACTGTGGGACCGCGTGGTTCTCACCACACCACCTTTAACTCCTTCTCCAGAGTCCAAAGGAAGCAGACACCCTAAAAACTTAGCAGAAGCACTTCCGCACACTGGTGTCCAGACCCAAGCCTGTCCGGAAGTGTTTCCGCTAGATTCATAGAGCACTTGGGACAAGAGGCGGTGAAGACGCGTCATTTGGTTGCACTCCGGACCGTCTGCAACTCTTCAATTGGCTTCCACTGTTGGTTGATGGTTATGAGCTTTGAAGAGAAAGGTAATCAAATGTTTTGTCAAGGATCTGTGCCTCCTCCTCATCGCCCCTTAGGAAAAGCATGCCTCCTCTCTAAAGCATGCCACAGGGGCTGGTTCTCTCGGGGAGCAGCACCTAGGTCCCCAAGTGTTGCAGGATCCAAGAGGACAACGGTGAGACATAGGTCCCCTCTCTCACACACAGCGTCCAGATTTCTCAGTTTGCTAAAGTTGGATGCGAGCTGAGCTTCCAAAAGCATCCCTACCCCCAGGAGCGGATTGCGTGGCTTCTAGTTCGGGGCCCGGCACACACTGGGGTGCCTAGCAAGGCCCTCTCGTTGCCCTGCTCCGTGGAGCCCAGAAATCTGTTACACAACTGGGGAAACAAGACAGAGCTGTGGGCCTGATATCCAGAAATCTCTTGTGCGGACATTTCTGTCAGTCTCAGGGGTGTTTTAGTACCCCAGGACCTAAGGGACACAGGCCCTCAGAGGCCTGAAATGTCCTTCTGCAGGTCAAGCAGCTGACGACTTGCATTCTAAAAAACCTTCTTCGGACAGTTCAAGCTGTCCGTTCATTCCACCAGCCCTTACGTCCTTACCTTCCAAAATATTTACATTAAGATGCAAATGACCCTGAACGAATTTTACTTCCATGGAACATTTCCATAACTATCTAGTGTTTCTCACAAAAGCCCTACCACCAGCTTCAGCCATGCAACGGCTGGAATGAGGTAATGTAGCTTCAATAATGATAAGAGCTTGTGTTTGAGTTCTTACTATGGGCCATGCCTAGCATGAAATGTTCCGTGTATTTTTATTTCTTATCTCTCACCTCCGAGGTGAAGCACACTACCACACCTGTCTAACAGATCCCAAGAGCCTCGGAGAAGCCAAGCTCTCAAATCACCTGTGAATCATAGGCAAGGATTTGGATGTGATCCCTACCACCCTAGGCCACTGTCCGCATAGCTACGGGACTGGTGGGCTGCAAGGCACCCTCTGCCCTGCGGAGGGGGTGGCACGGGTTGGGCTCAAAGTCAGTTAGTTTTCACTGAGCGATACCTTTTGAGGTACATGAGGGTCCACAGTTTCCCAAGGCTCTGGGTTCCTTCTTCGATCAACACTAAAAATAAAAGAAAGCTAAGTCAAGGTTGAGGGAAATGAATTGAAGTGAACACCGACACTGGGCCCCTAAACATGCCGGAGACTGAACCAGTCTCCCCATAGAGGGGTCCGGTCATCACTTCCTCAGACACTGGGAAACAGGGTCTGTACCTCTTCCACCCACAGGAGAAATCAGGGTTCCCCGTAGCAGCAGGGCACACCTGTTCTATCGTACTAGGAAAGATCATGCTAATAAACTGAAATGTATTGTTTCTTTTTTTGGTACTGGGAATCAAACTCAGGACCTTGTGCTTGCCAGGCAGGCTCATGTGGTACTGAGCTATATTCCCTAGCCCAATAAACTGAAATTTTAAAATGTCATTAAAATGATGACATTGGATGACACATGTTTCCCATGGATAATTTAAGAGCTTTAACAATCCCAGACTTAAGCTTAAACGTATCAGACCTCTCCACGGGTGAGCTGGAGGAGGCCCATTGCGCAAAAGGATTTTTCTGTAGCCACGAGGAAGAAACCAGTGTGGTTAATAGAACTGAGTCATCTTCCAAATATCAGGCTGCTTCTCAGCCCGAGTCCGAGCTCACAGCCTGACCTTCCATCCACAGGAACAGGAAACTGACATCACACTGACCACCGCCCCAAGGGTCCACTCACATCACGTCAGTCTTCCGAAAGGAGTACAGGGCGAAGGACAAGGCTCCACTGGCCGCCACGGTCATGATCACCGCCAGAGGGATGAGCTGGGATACAATGGGGGGCCTCAGAGGTACAGCCAGCGGCTGCACGTGCAGGGGCAGACGCAACAGAAATGACGGTGTGCAGTGGGTGTATGTAACGCACAGGAGGTGGATGTAGATGCAGGTGTCACTTTTATATTTTCTTCCAACTCTACCATCATTTCATCTTTAAAAAAGAACCCATGGCAGACGTGGTGGTGCACACCTGTAATCCCAGCACTCAGGAGACTGAGGCAGGAGGATTGTTGCAAGTTCTCAACCAGTCTGAGCTACAAAGTGAGCCCAAGGCCAGCCTGAACTGCATAGCAGAGACCCTGTCTCAAAAAGACCAAAATAAAAAGAGGAACCCTTGCAGGGCTGGGGATTAGCTCAGCAGCACAAGCCCCTGCCTGGCAAGTGCAAGGTCATGAGTTCAATCCCCGGTACAAAAAAAAAAAAAAAAAAAAAAAAAGATAAACTGGGTTTGTGGTGCACCTGTGATCCCAGCATTCGGGAGGATGAGACAGGAGGATCAATTCAAATTCAAGGCCACCCTGGGCTACAAAAGAAGTTTAAGGTCAACCTGAACTGCACAGTGAAAAAAGACGAAAGGTGGTGGTGGGGGGGATAATAAGGAACCTTTCTGGCAAGTTTCCCACGGTTTTAAAAGCTTACCTCTTTCTTCTTCATCAAGGTTTGAAAAACACCCATGATGACTTCAGTGTAGGATGCCAAATCTAGAAGAGAAAAATCCAAGCCAGATCAAAAGTTGGGCCGCTGGGACTCAGCTCTATGGGTACCACCTGCTTGATGAGCTCAAAGGCCACGGAGCAGCAGGGCTCACTTGGCAGTGGGACCACCTGGGGGGCTCACCTGAGTAGAGGGGCCGGCCTGGTGGAGGGGCCGGCCCAAGGAGCGCCCCGTGGGTGGGTGGGACTCACCTGGCCGGGCTCACCTGCGCGGCCCGCGGGCGCGATGCTGCTCTGGCTCGGAGCGCCGCGCGCGCCTTTTATACCGGCCGCAACGCTCGCACCGGGCCGGGCGGGTCACGCGGCGAGGCGCGGGTGGCGGCTGCCGTCCCCGGCTCGCGCGCGCCCCCTGCAGGACACCCGCGGCGCCACCTCCCGCGCTCCCTCGGGCTGGCGGCCACCGCGCCTTCTAAAAGGGGGTCAGAGGAGGCGCAGAGGGGTCGGGGCCCCAGAGGCGGCTCCAGGTGCGGGCGGGCGGCTGAGAATCATTCCACCACGGGGCACACGCGAGGTAATGAAATCCTAACACTCCTTGCAGGATGACTCCCACCGGGCCCTGGTTTGTCCCCATTAAAGAGATGAGGGAAAAGAGGGAACAGAATAATCCACCGAAAAGGTGTCCAGCCTAAGTCTAAGCCCAGCACCAAGGAGGCTGAGGCAGGAGGATCGCTGAGAGCTTGAGGCCAGCCTGGGCTACACAGCCAAACTCTGTTTCAAAAAACAAAACAAAACCAAACAGCAGGCTGGCTTTGTCCTCAGGTCCTGTCCTCTTTAACAGCCTGCCTACAGCCGGCCCTGGACATGATCCCGTGTCCAGGCAGTGCCCAAACGCAGCTGGATCCCACCTCTTCCAAGTAGCAGAGGTGGACTCGGGAGAGCCCACCTCTCCCGTGCTTCATTGGGATTGGGATTCAACTACTTCCCCTTTTGGGATCTTAGGTGTCTGCAAAATAGGGTCAAAGCGGACCAGGGCCTCTGCCTACTGTCTTGCTGGTCCCAGGCATGCGGCTGTGTGAAACGGAGGCTTAAGTGACCATAGGGGCAGCAGTGTGACCGCCTGCCTTACTGGGAGCCAGCTGCATTACCGCAGCCATAGCCAGGCACATGGGTCAGAGCTGCCCAAGACCCTGCAGCGAGAAACCCTCGGTCTGTACTCAGCAAAGCATTTCAAACTTTCTGGGGATTTGTAAGGCTGCTCTTGTCTGGAGGGTCTTTGTTAAAGTCTTGTCAACAAGAAGTTTTTATCTCTCCAGGTGTGTAGCTCACACCTGTAATCTCAGCACTTGGTAGGCTAAGGCAGGAGGATTGCCAAATAAAGGAAGCCAGGGCCTGGCCTGGGGAAGACAGGAAGAGAAAGAAGGGACCTTACAGGAGGACCTCAGTCCTGCCTGGGCAGGATCTCAGAAACTGCTGCAGGCCAAAAGATGGGACACAGTGGAATTGTTAAAAATTCACTTTATTGGAGAATTTCAGGCACAGAATGATCACGTCATTGGGAATTTGTACCTGTGCATACGGTACCTTTTCTCATTCCTCTCCCCTCCCTTCAACACAGCTTCCCTTCCTTATTCAAAAGGTTTTGTTTTCATTTTTTATTTTTCTCATTTTTTTTCCCCTTCTCTAGTTCCCCTTCTCATTCGAACATTTTCTGGTTCACAGCATCTATCACACATTTTGGTTCTTCCTTACAATTTCAGTTTCTCACCAGAGAAGCAATGCAGTATTTACATGTGCCATTTTTCTTCACTTCAGAGTCTGGTCTCAAGGTGCATCCATTTACCTCGAAATCTCTCACACTTGCTTTTCTTTATGGCTGAGTAGTACTCCATTGTATAAAAGAATATCTATTCATTCCCGAGTTGATGGGCCAGTGGGTGGACTCCAAGATTCAGCTGTTACAAACTGTGCTGCTGTAAACATGGGTGCACATATAACCGCAATGGTACAAAGTGAAATTTTAAAAAAGACACAAGATCCTTTTCAAGATGTGGTACATTTTATGCCAATAGGTAACCACGCCATGGCATGACCTGGCACTGAAAGGAGAGATTAAGTCCAAGTGGGGGCACCTGGGCAAACTGAAGACTAGCTCCGTGGGGTTCGGGAACACCCCATCCCCGCTGCAGCCCCATCTCGATCTTTTGAAGCCTGCTGGCCCCCAGCTGGTACCTGAGTGTCTGCCTGCTGTCACAGGGCCTGAAGGGCACCCTGAATGAGGGATGACCTCAAAGGTGTGAGCTGTACAAACCCGGGGACCACTGTTCTACAGAATGGCTCACTAGTCTAAGCCCTCTGGAGCCAACCCCCAGGACCTGTCCCAAGCTGAGAAGCTAAGGACAACTCCACGTGACCTAGGACCCGAGACAGGAGAACGTGATGACCTGGACATCACTGGGACAACGGATGAAGAAGCTGTCACCATCGCTCATTCCCCGACTGCCGACTACAACACAGTGAACACAGAGCACCTGATTCAGAGTCTCCAGGGACACCACTCGCTGGTGTACTGGTCAGCCTCGGGGACAGGTGTGACTGCTTGGCTCCCTCGGACCCCAGCACCCTGTGACGCTGTAGCCAGCTCAGTGTGTGCAAGCAGACTACTACGGCACCCATGGGTGATGACACTGCCTCAGGACACGCTTCTCAGACTCAGAATGCACCTGTCTCCTGTTCTCAGACTGTTAAAAAAATACTGTGTGACAGACAGATAGAGACTTCCGAAAGACAGAGAAAACAAATGACAAAATGTCGTAACTGGTGACTGTGAGCTGGAATAGACAGATTTTTGTAATGTTCTTGCAACTTTTCTATAACTATGAAATTATTTCAAGGTTACAAAAAAAAGCAATCAACCAAAACCAGTCACCCTTACAAAAATCAGTGAATACACGTCCTGATTCCTACTTGAGGTGTTTTTTTTTTGTTTGGTTTTTTTTTGGTCTTTTTGAGACAAGAGTGTCGCTATGCAGTTCAGGCTGGCCTTGAGCTCACTCTGTAGCCCAGGCTGGGTCTCAAACTCAGCGATCCTCCTGCCTCAGCCTCTCAAGAGCTGGGATCACAGGGTACGCCTCCACGCCTGGCTGTGACAGTATTTTAACCTGCCTTTTGCAATAAGGTGAGCCTTAGCTCCTCGGGCACAGGCTGTATTTGCTTTTTGTTCTTTAATTTACCTAAAATATAAACACAAACTCTGAAGGCGTGAGGTTACAATCTCCAGGCACCTTCACACTCTACCGGCACGAATGACTGGACACCCATGGCACCCTTAGATGTCCTCCAAGGCGGCGGGGCCTTCTTTCCTGAATAAGTTTTCATACAGAGACAGGTCCGTGTGCCGTAAGGATGGTGTCACAGTCCCCAGAGACTTCAGGAAGTGCTGCCGAGTCACTACGGATGCATCCAGCCCATCCTCCTGCAGAGCCAGCAGGGCTGCCTGGGAGACACAAGCACCGAAAGTCACTTCGTGTGTTTTCAAAAGGAACAAGGACGATGATGCTTTAAGATCTGAACGCAAAACCCCAGTCTCACTTTGTGGGATTCCAGTGTTCACTACCATTGAAAACATTAAGCTGAAAAGTTACACAGGGTGATTAAAGATCCACTTTAGATCAGAATATAAGAGAAAGCAACCAGAATAATGTATACAAGTTTGATCAAGAAATATGGTGAATGATTAAATTTAAAATAAAACTTACTACAACTTATTACAGGCGTAGTGGCTCACGCCTGTAATCCCAGCACTCGGGAGGCTGAGGCAGGAGGATCATTTCGAGTTCCAGACCAGCCTGGGCTAGAAAGTGAGCTCAAGGCCAGCCTGAACTGCATAGCGAGACCCTGTCTCAAAAAACGAAACGAAACCAAACTAAACCTTATTACCGTAAGAGAGACACTGCCAGGAATCTCCTTTAAAGCACTCCCCCTACTTGCATACACTTACTCTGTCGTTTGTGCCACTTTCTGAAGCAGTTGCAATGCCTACTTTTATGTTTTTAGTTGCATTATCATGGCTACCTTGATAGCTCAAATTACGTCAGTTGTAAGTCTTTCCCTTTTGTGGTCATTTTGACTTTGGGGAAGATCCCATGCACAGGTGGATGACGACACATTTTGGATTTTTTCTTTTTCAGACAGGCTTTCATTATGCAGTTCAGCTGACCTCAAACTTGTGATCTTTCTGTCTCAGTCTCCTAAGTGCTGGGATTACAGGTGTGCACCACAACACACAGCTAGTGTCTCGTTTTTTGAGCTGCCTTTCTGTTGGCTGGCACTTGGTAACAGCATTCAGTTTTTTAGGTCAAGTTGTACAGACACTCAGGAAAGAGGACTTCCAGCACTGCTCCAGGAAATGGGAAGGATGATGGGATGAATGTGTCCAACGTGAGCGGGAGTCCGTATCCTGAGGGGCACTTGTGGCAGTGTATTTTTAACCATAGCAAAATTTTACTTAAACACACGCCACAGTTTTGACCAGCCCATTTACATTATGAAACCACATATACTTTTTTTAAAGGAGAGAAATCTTTTTGAGCTTGCAGTAGGCAAGTATTAGACGGTGCTGATCACAAAGGAAAAGATCACACACAATCTCATCTGGCACTTCTGCTTGAAGTGGTGCACACACATGAAACACAGCAAACTGTGCTGGGCACGATGCCTGGGCGGCCAGCTGATGTCCGGCCCCACAGCAGCGCATCCAAGGTGGGAAGCTGAGTATAGGCAGAGCCGCTCCACACCCCAGACTCCTCGCAGCACAGACTCACCTCTCTGCACAGGTTCCTGAGGTCAGCGCCAGAGAAGAGATGGGTCTTGGCGGCCAGGTCCTCTAAGGAGACATCAGCCCCTAGCGGCATGTTCTGTGTACAGACTTTTAAAATAGAAAGTCTGCCCTGCAACAGATGGAAAACAATCCAGCTGCAACCCCAGGACGTGATGCTCTAAGAGGTTTCAAACCTGAGTTTCATGTCACAGCACACAAAAGGTCTGTATGTAAACACACAGCCACACATGGGGCTCAAATGTTAAAAAATCAAATCACTTCTTGATTCTGAAAGTTGAGAAAGACTAAGCCATCAGTGGTCTACATGGGAATGGTAAAATAATGACATGAAAAATTTTAATACCTGGCTACCTCCCCAGCCCAACTTTAATACTTTATAATTACTTTTAAAGTCTCCAACCACAGGCATTTTTTTTTTTTTTTTGCATCAGCATCTTGCTATATAGCCCAGGCTGTCTCTGAACTCATGGTGATCCTCCTGCCTCAGCTTCCCGAGTGCTGGGATTACAGGTATGCGCCACCACACCCAGCTGGCAGAGCTCTTAAGGAGAAAGGTGAGTCTCTATTTGGGTATCACATGTGCTACTAGAACAGTTTAAAAAGCAAGTGCACAAACTGTCAGCTATACACTGAGGGTCACAGACATTTAAACGTTTTTTAAGCCCTAAAAACCTGAATCCTCCTGGGTCTGTCCCTGCTCCCTGGTGGCCCTGGCTGCCTGCCCAAAGCCGTGTTCCTCCCGGGACCTCGGCTGACTCCTCTGTGAGCTGAGGGTGCTAACCCAATCCTTCCCTGTGAGCCTTCAGGGCACTGCCCCAGTCAAAGTTCAGGGTCTGTGGCTGCAGAACCCCCAGATTCCCCAAGTAACTACCTCCTGATCTGGAGGGGGGATGTAGATGACCCTGTCCAGCCTCCCAGGGCGCATCAAGGCGTCGTCTAGCATGTCCGGCCTGTTTGTGGCGGCAACAATCATAACATTCCGACTGGAAACTTCCTCGAATCCTGAAAGAAAACAAACAACAGAAGTCAAAGTCAGCGGCCTCGGGCCACAGAACCCATTGTAAGCCACGGACTGTGTGGGTCAGGCACTGATCTAGGGCCTGGGACCCTCACAGTGCCCCCCACCCCGCCTTGGGCCACCCCGGAACCAGGGCTGTGGTGCAGAGCAGCTCGTCCCCTCAGTCCCTCCCGATGCCAGCCTGAAATCCTCCTAGGGAGCTGCTAACATGTTCCTCCTATGAACAGTTTTTAAAATGAGACACAAATAAGACCAAGAAAATAAAGAAGAAAAACAATCATCAGGGATAATGAAAGTGAACCACAAACTCTGGAGAAACTCCAAAAGAAAGGAAGGGGCCATCCAAGGGGCATCAGTACCACCACGGGGCAACGGGGACCCACTTGACACAGTGACACCCAGCTTTCGGTTTCTGGGCTCCTGAAATATTCATTTTTGCTTTATACAAAAATTTTTGGGAAAGGATGCAAAGCGGTTGTCGGGGATACAGAAATCAGAATCAAGCCCTTTCTCCATTCATCAGTCAACTTCCCACGCTGCAGACACAGTTCCCGCGCATGCACGTCTGAGAGAATTCACCCTGAAATTTATTTCACCTCTCCTGGCTCCATCACAGTTCTTACCAAATGACTGCCATCCCTCTAGGAGATGAACTCTGCTCAGGGAAGCAGCAGCAGGGGGTTCTGCATGCAGCTGCCAGATTCTGGTGCACTCCGGCTCCGACCAACACCTCTGCGGCTCTCAGCTCCTATTTACCCTGTGGGCCGGCTTTACTTCCTCTTCTCTCTGTGGGCTTCAGTCCCACTCCGTCCAGCTCCGTCAGGAGGACAGAGAGCAGCCGCTCCTCCACACCGCACCCCGCTCTGCCGCCCGAGCGGGACCCCAAGATGGAGTCGATCTCGTCCAAAAACACGACTGCTGGTGTGTTCGCTCTCGCTTGCCGAAACACCTTCCGCAAGGGAAAAACATCAGAAAGCGAATGTTACGCTAGTCACGTGACCTCCAGGCTAGTTTATAATTTCCAGAAAATAAAACAGAAGATTCTAAATGCTCAAGAACTGGGGAACAAAGAAACAAAACAAGCAAGAAGAAAAAAAGTATAGAAATTAAATATTTTCAAAGGACATTTAATAAGAAATTTCAAAAGCAATAATGTTGAATTTAAGTTTAGGCTGGCCTTAAACTCACTCTACACCCAGGCTAGCCTTGAACACAAAGCGATCCTCCTGCCTCAGCCTCCAGAGTGCTGGGATCACAGGTGTACGCCACCACGGCCAGCTGGTCACTTTTTCAAATAAGGCTTATAGACAAGGTGTGGAATAAAGATCGGCAGGCAAGCGTGAACACACAGGAAACAAACAAACCTGGGCCAAGGCTTTTTCTGAATCCCCGACGAAAGGCGAGAAGAGCTCTGCTCCGCTCAGCGACAGGAAGGCACAGTGGCAGCTGGTGGCCAGGGCCCGCACTAGGGTGGTCTTGGCGCAGCCAGGCGGCCCGTGGAGCAGGAGGCCGCGGGGAGGCGTCAGGCCCATCCGGGCAAAGGCCTGCGGGAACTTCAGGGGCCACTCAACGCTCTGTGTGGAACAGAGACAGAGGCAGGGTGTCCTTTCAGAGCCCTGCCACCTCTCCCCTCTCCCCGGCCCAGCTCCCAGCTCAGACTCCAAACTCCAAACCCAGCCGCTTGGACCTGCCTGTCCCCGGGACCCTTCCTCACCATCCCTCTCTGTCCAACCGAGCGTACCAGGGTCCCCAGTTCTCCCCACGCAGCGCTCCACTCCAGTGTCCTTTCCCTGGCCACTACCTCCTCCTTGTGCCATTCTGTGCCACCACGTGAGTCCTTCACTTTTCTTTGGGGCAGGGCCTCACTGTGCAGTCCAGGCTGGCCTGGAACTCAATGTGTAGCCCAGGCTGCCTCAAACTTGCAGCATTTCTCCTGCCTCAGCCTCCAAGTGCTAGGATCACAGATGGGCACCACCGTGCCTGGACCACCTTTTACTTTTGGAGTGCTTATTAATTTTGCTTATTTTTCCAGGTTAGGTTTGTTGTTCTGCCTTTGCTGGAATGGAAGCCAAGTTCCTCTCTAAATCCTCAGCACCTAGGATGCCACCTGTGGAAGCAGATACTCAACACACCTTACATGAATCACGAATGAGTCCCAAGTACCTGCAAAGCAACTAGCTTTGCCACCATAGTTTCACAGACAGAGAAACTCAGGCATGGAAAGTTCACCCCCTGCCCACTTCTCCACACCACGGCAGCACCAAGATGGGCCCAGGTGATTCGATTTAACTCATCTCATGTGCTCTTAACTACCGAAGCAACCTCCACCAAAGAAAGGGAAAGCTAGGCTATGTATCCCCGAGTTGAGGCCACGGTTTCATCACAGCAATGCAATCAGAAAACAGCGCTCCAGAGGACCCTACATGGAGACACAAGAGACCATGGGATGTTGTCCCATCTCAGAGGCAATCATAACATTCAGAGGCAGTCATAACAATCATAACGTCCCATCTCTCGTGGGCACTGGGGAAGGTGTGGACAGAGGTGGTGGAGGGAGGTGAAACAGGCTGCAGGCAGGTCGGTGAGGAGTCTGCAGCGATCCAGTCCACAACCGTCTTAAGGCTTGGTGTGTCCTGGGCACGCAGGTGGTGCTGAGTGGGCGCATACAGGAAGTGTACAAAGGAATTGCATGCTAAGTGGGGACTGAGTTCCATATGCGATTGCCAAGGCAGGGAGCCCCGGCAGGCGCAGGGTGACGAGCTGGGATCCCAGCACTGAGTGAGAGCCTGGGGCTTCGGCAGGTAGCAGTGCAGGAGTCCTGAGACTGGACGCATCCACCCGAGCAATAGAGACTGTGATCCACAGCTGCAGGGAACGGCCACAGCCTCACAGGCTGGGGACACACACACACACACAGGAGCCAGCATTTGAGCAGCAGAACAAGGAGAGCTTTCAGCAAGGACACTGGCTTCCCATAAGCAGTGGGCGGATCAGAGTGCAGAAAAGTGAACTCAGGGCTCATCCTGGAGCCAGGGATTCGGGATGCACCACAAGAGCAGCTCCTGGTGAAGGGGAACCCCGCAGTCCATGTTTATAGACCGGCGCTCAAGTGGTACTGCTAAAATCTGGGTTCTCAGAGCAGGGCTGGGGACCAGAGACCAGGAGCAGGGCCTCAGCCACCAGCAACACCCTAGGCTGGCCTCTACTGGCCCTCATCTGCAGCCATGAGTCTAGGCCAGAGAAGGGGGGAAACTGAGCTTGGCCTCGTACGTGTACAGCCTACAGACTAAGAATGCTTTCTATTATCTTTTTAATACTTTGGGGGAAAGAAAAAAATCAAAATATTAATGGGTAAAATTTAAAAATTATATGACCTCATCGTCCACCCACAAAGTGTGATTATAGCAGGTGTCCTCTGCTCTCTGCAAGGGCCTGGACAGCAAAGTTCAAGGACACACAAAGGTCTTACACAGAGCAGCACCGGCAGGGTGAGGGGCTCCGTGGTGCGGCTCTTACACAGCACCATAGGGGCCGGGTCTGGTCCTTGACACAAGGGAAAGGGATGGCACAGGCCTGCCACTGACTCTGCACGTCCTCCACACACACGTGATCGTCCCAGATGACTCACGGTGAACACTGTGTCCACAGCTGTCACACAGCACGTCCCCCCAAATGTTCACTGGATGCGGAGCCAGCAGCCACCGTGGCCAGTGTCCCCTTTCCCATATCCGGAGCCACCCTGACCACCACGGCAGAACCTAAGCTCATTAAGCTCACAACGCCGACTGATGGCTCGTGGCAGAACCTGCTGACCTCGGTCCTGGGCCGAGGTCACCTCCTACAGCAGCGCACACGCAGAGCAAGCACTGAGGGGGAAATCGGGAAGGCCACCACAAACGTGTGGATGCCGTGCGACATCTTACTGGCGGGGTGGCCCGGTCACCTGTTTCAGCTTGAGTTTGACGTCTTCCAGGCCACCGATCTCCTCCCAGCCGACAGGCCTGACGTCCAGCAGCCCAATGGCGCTGCGCAACGCTGAAGGCTGCACCCTCCTCAGCGCACTCAGGAAGTCCTTCTGCGTGACGGCAGGACCATCTCGGTGCTGCAGAAACACGGCCCAGAAAGCAGGGCCGGACCGGAAGTCAGGCGGGCCTGTTTGGGGCTCCATCAGCACAATGTCTCCTTTTAAAAACCTCTTTCGGATGTGTAAGTATGTTATCATCATCACAAAATGAAATAACATAGTATAATGAGACATAATTAGTACCAAAACCCAGCAGGTCTCACCAGTTCCCGCTGGTCTTCTCACTGGCTGCTTTCAACAGTCCCTTACGTGTTAAGTTCCACCGTGGTCATGCACGGGAGCACTAATATGTTAATGGACAAAGGGTGATGATTTGTGCAACTGACCCTCCAATGGCTCCCCCAAAATACATACATCGGAGGGAAAGAGAATAAATAATAGTTAATTTGCTAAAAGTTTATAAATCAGTGAATTTGGACAAAGCATTTATTTAGCGGGTGTTCTCTGTAACTACCACTTTCCTTAAGTTTTGAATTATTCCCAAAGTTAAAAAAACTGACAAGAAACAGCTCTGAAAGAAATTAAGGAGGAAGGCTTTCCATGTCTGTCAGCATCCCTTTTGTGACGGTCCTCATCCACGCTTGCTGTCTGCTTCCCCAGGGCTGTCGCACAGGTCCTAGGACTCGTTAGAGTTCTCTCTCTACCAAGGAAGCTGGGCTGAAAGTATTTTCCTTCCCAAGTGGTCAAAGGAGCAAATCGCACCCTTTTTGCTGGAAGATTCTGTGTGCTCAGAAAGGCCACTTTCATGTTGAGACTTTATTTTGAAAGGAGTCTCAGCCTTTCCTCGGTCAGTGTAGGGAAGCCAGGTTGTGGTGGATCAAAAACTCCTCACATCTCTGTTTGTCTGTATATTTACTAAAGAATCTGCTCTCTCACATCAAATTCGGAACTCAGTTGCCCCCAAAGCTCCACTTTTCAACAACAATCTGTGCTCTTTTGTATCATTTAAGTGAACAGAGAGAAAGTTATTCTGTGAAGTATTTTCCAAAAATGTAAACTACTGGGTCTCCGGGAGGTGAGGCCGCAGCGCATTTTATCTCCTCTGTACCCATTTCTATCCTCTGATTTCTCATAAACAACCCCACATGGCCCTGCATTGCTAACCACACGGGAGATGAGGTGACTCTGCTGCTGTGTGGGTGGTGCACACGGGCCAGGGAGCCCATGACACACCCAGGCGCTCGGCCAGTTGCTGACCCCAACATTATGTGACGTGTGGCCACAGCACCAATATGGACGCCTGCTCGTGGGTGCCCACAGGTGACACCCACCAACCTCAGTCTCCTGTGCAGCCCGGGGTCACCCACTGCTCTCAGGACTCTGGCAAGAGCCCGTGCTTTCCCCTCTGCGGGCATCGAGCTGTATCTGTGACCCCTCAGTGGGAGTACTGCACCCGAGGTAAACCCTAACGGACCCCTGTCTGGCTGTCCCTCGGCCGCTTGGTGGGGAAAGAAGAAAAAGACAAGCCCGTACTCCCCGGGTGCCTCTGCCCCTTCTTCCCGTGCCCTCCTTTCTCATGCTTCCCCAGACGGCCGTGGCCCAGGGAACCACACCTCAAGCCCTCCTGAAGTGGCAGCGGCTGGCCTGGCCACCTAAGCCAGAGGCACTCAGTCAAATGCGGATCTTTTCTGGCAGAGGGATCCCACATGCACATCTCATCCTTTCCTCGAAGGACACAGAGGTGACACGTATGCGTGAAATTTATGAAAACATCAAGTGGTCTGGGTTCTAGAATTCCAAGTAACTGCTCTTCACTTTTAGTGTAAGAATAAAAATAAAGGAAGAGGAAGATATTTAAAGAAAATTCCAGGTACCCAGTCTTCTCTGGGGTCAGAAAAGTTTATTTTCCCACACAGGACTCATTAATTAAAAAAGGGAGGAGAAACAGGATCTTGGCAATGCACAGATACCATCGTACCCAAGAAAGCAAAGTTAACTGTGGTCGGTCTGAGACACCACATGCTGAATAACAAATAATGAGAAGACTCCAAGCCATTTCTGGGCTATTCCTACCCCAAACGTAACACTTGAACTGCACAAGAAAACATCAGTCCACCCTGAAGACAGGAAGCCTACAGAGCAACTGACGCAAGCTGTTAAAAAATTTAGGTCAGGAAAAGACAGAAGGCTGGTTCCAGACCAAGGTGATTTGGATGAGGAAAAGCACAGAGCGCAGATCTCCTCAGCTTGACTATTACACTGTGGTTAAAGTTCTTGCTTCCAGCAGATAAACCTCCAAGTTATCAAGGTAAAGGGGCATCCCAGCAGCAGGATACTATGAAATGTTTCAGGAAAAAACAAAACAAAACCTCAAGCGCATGAGAGAATGATAAATGTGGTAAAATGCTGCTTATGGAGAATGTGGGGAAAGATACACAGATATTCTTTGTTTTACAGTTTTTATCTAAGTCTGACACTGCTTCTAAGTCTGAAATTGTTTCAAAAAAAAAAAAAAAAATCATTCAATGTGTTGGGGCCACGCTCTGCCTTTTAGGACTGCCCCAGGCTTCGGCGCTATGCAGATGCTGCAGGAGGAGACATATGCTGTGCAACCTGGAGCCCTCAGTCCTTTACTTTGCCCTTCGCCTGTATTCTGTTCACACAAAGTTTAGATGTAAGAATACAAAGCAGCAGCAGTGGAGAAAGCCTACATAGAGCCCTTGCAGCCCTCACTAATCTGCTGGGTTAACAGGGACATAAGTCCACAGGGCATCACCGCCAGCCCTGCCTACCTTCTCCATGGCTAGCAGCGCGTGCATGGCGGCCTCCCGGCACAGCGCAGTCAGGTCGGCGCCCACGTAGCCCACCGTCATCTCTGCAAGTGCGTCCAAATCCATGTCCGAGGAGGTGGGCATCTTTGCAGTGATTGCCTGCAGAATTGCCTTTCTCTGTTTCAGCGTGGGAGCCCCGATGATAACCTTTCCGGGAGCAAAACAGAAACCTTAAAGTTCATAGTGCAAAATATCTCCCTATCCTCAGACATAATAACTGGGAGAACCATTCTGGGTCTAGCACCATGTACACCGAGGTATACATTAGATTTAGAATATATGAAAATCCCAGTTTTTCAGTGGCACAATGAGCGGCCACAAAAATCACATGATAAAAATCACATTTAACAAGGTTTTGTTATTTTGAGGAACCTAACCAAGTTCTAGGAGCCAGGGCTAGAATACTAAGCCAGGATGTTTAGGTACCCACCCACAGACAGTCTGTTCAGGAGACAGTTACCGGATGATAAATCTACCGAGGTCCTGAACAGATTAATCTAACGATGTGCCATCGTCCTCTCTCTACACCTCACCCAAAAATTCAAACACCTCTTACTGAGTTTTTTCAGAAACCAAGAATCAATTTAAGAAGAAAATTATTAAAAAGTTCAGTTTTGAACATTCAACCTGCCACCAACTGAGGGTACATCCTTGTTGGTAACCAATTAAATACTCTGCTAACGCAGAATCACAAAGAGAAGAGCTGTTATTTTTGCTGGAACTACAGCTGCTACCCACTTTTCTAGCTAGCATTATCAAATCACACAAAACACAGCCTGGTGGCCCATTGACCTGCAAACTGACAAGTCTTGAGTCACAAAACCAAGTGCCATGGAGTGTTGAGCTTGGGAAGGGGTTTGGGTGCTGCAAAACTATCTATCTATCAGTGACCATTCTGCCCAAACTTTGCTACCAATATCACAATGCATAGTTCAGCCTGTTTCTACCATTCATTGCCATTCCTGGCTCACTGATTCATGGACTGCCTGAAACACTCAGTCTCCTTTGAATTCCACCATATTCAGTTTAGACATAATGTTCCCACATTCAGTTTTTTTGTCAACCAAGAACATATGAGGAAAATGCACGGTCATGTCGTTGCATCCATATCTGTCAGACTTTATGAGGCACCATAGGTTTGCAAATAATGCTTTCAATTCCTTGTAAGAGCAATCCTCTGTTAACAGGATGTTAGGACTTTTAGTTTTTGTACAAACATTCAAGGACAAATTCAATTTAAATACATCTGGGAGACAACTGTTCAACTTGATCTATGGGACAGTATGCTGGTGTTCTGACAAGAGATAAGCAGATTAACGTTTGCTTTGCTTTAGTTCTTTTTATCTTTCTCCCTATTTCAACACTTCCTGAAGATACCTCGATTCAATTCTCATACAAATCTAACAGGCTGGTAAGCGATCAGGGTCCCTTAAGGATTCACATTACTGATAATAATACTATAGAGCTTATCTTCAAGATCTGTACAATAAAACTAGTTTCTAAACGCCTCTCTACCTCTTGGAACAAACTGGCTCTTGGAAAACGGAGGTCCCAGTGTGCAGATCACTGAATGTGTTCTCTGAATTACAAAGGATCCTAGTCCGGCTGCCACAGTTCCCAGACTAAGATGCCCAGGGACAAGGCCACCCGCCCGGCCCATTCACCTCGCGTTCAAACCTTCCGGGTCTGCGCAAGGCCGGGTCCAGCGCGTCTGGTCGGTTGGTGGTTCCCACTACCACCACGTCGCTGTCACCGCCGAAACCGTCCAGCAGCGTCAGCACCTGTGCCACCGCGCGGCTCTCGGGGGCGCGGTGTGCACCGCCCCGCCGGGGACACAGCGCATCCAACTCGTCCAGGAGCAGCAGGCTAGGGCCACGCGCCGCCAGCTCCCGCGCGCGCTCAAACACGCGCCGCACGCGCGCCTCAGTCTCCCCGGGCCGCGCGCCCTGCAGCGCCGCGCCGCTCACCGCCAGCAGCTGCGCGCCCGCCTCCCGCGCCACTGCGCGCACCAGCTGAGTCTTCCCTACGCCGGGCGGCCCGGCCAGCAGCACCCCGCGGGGCACGGCTAGGCCCAGCGCCGCTAGTGCGCGCGGGTAGCACAGCGGCAGGAGCAGGAGTTCGCGCAGCGCGTCCACCGCCTCCTCCAGGCCCCCCAGTGTCTCCTCGGCCGGTGGCGGTGCCTCCTCGACCCGCGGCTCGGCACCCAGGCCCACGCAGGTGCGCGCGGTGACCAGCCCCGCCGGGTCCGGCTCGGGGGCCCCGCCCACGATGTGCAAGGCGGCCAGCGGGCCCGGGGCCCCAGGGGGCGCGGCCAGCACCAGGCCCCGGGACACCGGCCGGTTCCTCAGCAGCTCGCGCGCGGCCTCCAGCACCACAGAGTCCCCCGGCGCGCCCGCGCGCTCCCGCAGCACGGGCCACACGGACACGCGTCGCAGCGGCGGACAGGGCACCGCGCTCAGGCAGCCCAGGTGCAGGCCGCTCCCGCCAGACCCCGCCACCGCTGCTCCGGGGCTCGCGCATTGCGCGTCCAGCTGCACGAAGCCGTCCGCCCCATCCCGCCGCGGCCACGCGGTGCACAAGCAACAGCCGCCGCCCGGCAACGTGACCCGCACCGCCGAGCCCAAGCGCGCACCGATGGCACGAAGGGCGGCCGGGCCCAGGCGGCAGCGCTGGGTGCCCCGGTCCCTGGCATCGACAGGCAGCAGCTTCAATAGCGGCCCCTCTGGGCAAGGACCCGAGTCTGGGGCCATGCAAGACGCTAAGGAGGACGCCTAGGAAACTGGGACAGAAATTCCGGAACTGCCGAAGCACCGCGCTCCGAGCCGGAAGCAGACAGCGCGCGTGCGCCAAAGGGTGGGACATTTTGGTGCTAGGACCTGATGGAAGGTTGAAAGGGCCAATTGGGAAGTGAGACGACGCGCAGGCGCTCAGGTAGTTTTGTAGGTTTAGGGAAGTGGTAGGTACAGGTGCATGTAGGACAACGTTAGGCTAACTTTACTGGGCTGCTAAACGTGTGCTCGAAAACTGATAAATTTGTGGCACACTAGTATATTTGCTCTGATTTCTGATGGACCCCTTGCAGTGTGCTTGGCAACAGCTTCGTCAGCACCTCTTCCTTCCCCGTGCTGAGTGTCATTGTTAGGCACACAGAAGTACCTGTAGGTCCTAGCCTGTGTTAGAGGCGACCTCCAGACCCTCCTGACTGCATTATTATCGCAACAGCCTGCTGGTCTTTTCCCACTCTGCTCTCCGCCTTTCCACAAGAAATCCTTCTCGATTAGGAATCTCAATTCTCATCCAAAAGAACCACCGATATTCAAAGGCAAGAAAATTGCCTCTTTTTTTTTTTGGTCTTTTTGAGACAGGGTCTTGCAATACAGTTCAGGATGGTCTTGAACTCACTTTGTAGTCCACGCTGGTCTTGAACTTGCAACGATCCTCCTGCTTCAGCCTCCCAAGTGCTAAGATTACAGAGGTGTGCCACCATGCCCGGCAAAAAATGGTGCATTGTTTTTAATAGTGCTCACGTCTTCCTGTATTTTTCCCACCTTCACTGCAACCCAAATGTGTGAGATAGCAGAGTTGATAACGGCCAGTCATAGTGGCTCATGCGGTGTAGCTCCGTGTGAAAACCTGGGTTCAGTCCTGAGGACGGACAGGGGGAAAGATTGTGGACAGAATGCCTATATTGTGAGGTGGTTGCTGTTTCTTTTGTGCAGTGGAAAATACTCTTGACCTGGCACCTGAAGACCTATGCCAATTCCGGGTCTTATTCCACCCAGACTTACTGCACAGCATATGAGGAACTTCTAGATCCCACAGTAACTCATCTCTGCCATACTTCTCTAGCTCTAGCACCAGAAAAACTTAAAAGATATGAGAAATAGCATACATAGCAGGAAGAGGTCCCAGAATCAGTAAGTTACACTTCCCTGTTTCCTTCTTTCTCTTAATTGAATCAGCTGTGTTTGTTTTTCAGTAAGTTTGCATTTTCTGAAATATCCTTCAAAAAAAACCTGAGCCCTGAAGATTTGAGTACAGTGCCAGTCATGATTCCTGTACCTCAGGAAGTTTCTGTTGCCCCAGTTTAAGAAGCTCTGAGGACCATGAAAGGAAAAGAAGACTTAACAAGGACAGGATAAGTATCTTAACTATGTAAAGGATATATATATATATATATATATATATATATATATATACATATATCCAAGAAATGAAGGTTTAATGGATGATCTAAGATCCCTTCTCCTATTTTGAGTGTGATTGTGGGGAAGATAAGAGCCCTATGGCATAATCAAAGCCAATGTAGGGAAGTGCATAGTTCCTATATGTACATACAAAGAGGAAAATAAAATCAAATCAATCTTAGAGATTTCTGCATTGGTTTAAAACAGAGGTGGAGATTGTGGCATTAGGCATATGTTGTTTTGGGCTGAACAGAAAGGTTGATTTTATACAGGGTCCATTTGAGTCCCCTGACTTCAAAGACCCATGTAGTCAGGAAAAGTCATCGCAGCTGTCCCTAAACGGTCTGGTCCTCACATCAGATTGCAAAGAAAATCAACAAGGCCTTGAACTCTCATTCATTCATTCTCACATTCAGCCAGTAAAATCCATCCTCTGCTTTTGGATTCGACGGTTTCTTCCTTCACCACTGCCATCATTTTGTTGGTGCTGGAAGCGAACTCAGGCCTGCTAGGCAAGCACTCAACCCCAAGCTACATCCCCAGCCCCAGTGCTGTCATTTCAGCCATCCGTACATCCACATTCATCGTGCCATTCAGCGACATAGCCTTCTTGTGCAAAGCCATTCTAGAAGAGGTTTCATTTATTTACTTACAATACAACCCCAAATTTGGTGATTCGTTTGGTAATTCTGAATTGCATGCCCATTAAAAGCACCAAGGTAGAGCCGGGCGTGGAGGTGCGTCCCTCTAATCTCAGCACTCAGGAGGCTGAGGCAGGAGGATCACTGTGAGTTCCTGTCTAGCCTGGGCTACAAAGTGATCTCAAGACCAACCTGAACTGCATAAAGACCTGAACTCAAAAAGACCAAAAACAAAGAGTACCGAAGTTGAGCCACTAGAGGGAGTCCAGAACCAATTAAATGTTAAGATTGCACCGTTGTTAGACTTGGAAGTGTGGCTTCAGCTAGATTTTCCTGAAACTAACACCTACCTTTATGAAACAGGCTGTTGTCACTGTACAGTGTCCACATCTGTTTCACTTGCAGTAACAAAATAACCCAATCTAGGTAGGATATAAGCAACAGAAATTTATTCCTTATAGTGTTGAAGGCTGGAAAATCAAAGATCAAAGTGCAGGCAGATCCAGGCTCTGGCAAGGGCTGTCTTGTTTGCAGATGTTTTCTTGCACTGTCTTTGCGTGGAGCCGGAAGCTACCTCTCTCAGGCCTTCGTAGAGCTCGAACCTCATTCGTGTGGGCACCACCCTCATAGCTGGATTACATCGCAAGGGCATTTTTCTTAATACCATCACCTTGAGGTGAGAATTTCAGTAGGAGAGCTTTGTCGCTGATGTGAGCATTCAGATTATTACAGACAGTTAAGTTAGGGAGAAGTATTCCCCTCAGACAGACAAGGACACCCCATCCAGGAAGTCAGTGCAGAGGATGAAAACATCACGGCTGTGCCTGGAGCCGCATCTGACCGGGCTTATAGCAGTAACATGAAATTATGCTCTAACTGGTCTCACCTGTCCAGTAAAGTCTAGGTGGACACTGGTCACCCAGGTGGGTGACCAGCTCATGCTGACCCATCCCTTTCTAAAAATGCTTGTGTTCTTTCCAGGTACCCTAGCCATGTGACTCACTTCCCTGTTGGGTCAGTATTAGCTCAATGGCTATGTTTGTACTCTTACTGATGAATGTAGCTTGATCCAATTGTACCCACCTCGTGAATCTGTACCCACCTTGTGATTTCGCTCTATCAAACATTCTTGGAAAAATGGCCTCAGTGGGAACCCACTTTCAGGTCCCCTCCTGTCTCTCAGGAGCTCTCTCTCTCTCAATAAATCTTTCCTACTCTTACCCTTAACCTACTCTTAAGGAACTATAGTTCCTTAAAATTTGCTCTTCGATTTTGGGGGATACAAACTCAGTGTGTCTGACATGTAGCAGACTGAGAATTACATTTCTCCCTGCATCAGAATCACAGCAGTAACTTACTTCTGCATGCTTTGGCCCATGTAGAACTCAATTTTCAACTTAAAATGTAATTCCAGTATTAAAGATAAAAATCAGATTCTCTTTAAATCTCAAATTTAGTGATGAATCAAAATCTGAACAGATAGAATTCATTTTGCTATGGCCTAGACCTTTCTAGCTTTGAATTTTTTTCAAGTAGCTTTGCTAAATAAAATCTTTTTTTTTTTTTATCAGTACCAGGGATCGAACTCATGACTGCCAGCTTGCAAGGCAGGTGCTTATGCCGCTAAGCTAAATCCCCAGCCACTAAATAAAATCTTCCTTGAGGATTTTTTCCCTGTGAGGATTTTCCTAAAGAGATACAGGCAACAAACTTTCTCTTGCCTTCAACTGCAATCAAGTTATAATTTACCTAATATTAAATTATCTATAAAATTCTCATTATCTTTTGAGATGGAGTCTCTCTGTGTAGCCCAGGGCAACCTTAGACTCACTGGATAGTCCAGGTTGGCCTCCAGCCTGTAGCAATCCTCCTGCCTCAGCCTTCCTAGTGTTCCAACTACAAGCATGGGCTGCCACAACTAGCAAAAACTTCTCAATTACAAAAAAGTTCTTAATTAGTAAAATGTCTAGAATTCAAAAGCCAGGGGTGAGCTGAGCTTCCTGTGTTTAAGACACCAAAGAGAGGGCGTGACAGGCCCCTTCTGTCATCACCAGCATTGCCTCCATAAGCAGGGCCAGTGCTTAGAAAGTTAGCGTTTAATGTGAGGTACCCTTCGCACCCCATGTGCTACCTGCTTATCTAATCACTCATCCACCCCCCCCTGCTTTTCACCCTATTTTTTGATAGGTTATCAGTCCAACCCAGCTCTTGCAATGGCCTCCCGACAAAGCTCATACACAGACACACACACACACACACACACACACACACACACCGCTCCTCCTCTTTTTGTGGTGTTAATCCAGCCCAGAAAACCTCTGTATTTTGGCCTGAGATTATATCAGAGGTACATTAGGTCTAGGAACTGGTCCATCCTAACAACACCTGGAGCTTTCAGATACTCAAATATATGGGAGATCTAAGCTTGGGGACTGAGCCAGAGAGATCCGCCTGCGGGAGGAAGGAAGGCAGCGGCTCCGAGGAACGTTGATGTACCGCCCTTTCCTTGACCCCCTGAAAGTTACTGACTTTTCCTGACCTGGTTACCTTCTGTAGGAAGGGTGTTCTTGCTCTGGATTTCCACAGGGCGCTGCATACCTCCTAAAGCAATTTTGCTCTTCCGAGCTGTGATAACCTTGTCTGCCTAACCTGTCTGAGGGAAGAAACTGGGTCCTGCTCTTCTCTGGATGCCTGAACCTACCAGAGAGCCTAAGTACTTAGGCGTCAATTAGAAATCTGCAGGATGGGAACGAAAGGGGTGGGCGAGGCTGGATGGGGACCCAGTCACGGGAGCCTTGGATGCCATCTCTTCTGAGTGACTGCACTAGGAAGCCAGAGGGAGACACACGGAGCAGGGTAATGGCTGAGAAGACAGAGTTAATGATGCCCCCCCCCGCCCCGCCACACACAAATGAACCACCTATGCCAGCTCATTTATTTATAATAAAGCCTCAGCACAAATCTAATTCCTCCTGGAAGAGCTCCACCACATCTTTGGTCCCAGTTTCTCTA